GGGCTGGGGCAGCACCTCGGGCTCAGGTCACTGCTCCCTCTCCCCGGGTACCTGCTCAATACCCAGCCAGGCTCTGGAGCAGCTGTGCTCCCTCCATGAGCTCAGCACCCCAGGCAGCAGCAGGAGGAGCCTCAGAGGCACAGGGTCATGGAGGATGAGGTGGTGAGCTTGGGAGTCCAGGGACACAAGTTCCTTGGGGAACAAAATCTTTTCAATAGGAGTAGAGCCTCGGATCTTAGAGGAGGCAGCTGGGATTGCTCTTCCCAAAGTCCTCTCTCACAGAGGATACCTGCATCTAACACCACAGGTAACAGGCATGCAGTGAAAACCATCACCTCTCCTTGTGTCATGGAGCGAGACTTCAAAATCTGTTTGGTTTACACCAAACTCTCCATGTGCTACTCAGGAGAGCTTGCAGATCTGACCAGCAGATCAAGGAATCAGTATCACCTTTTTTATTCTTGAAAAGTATGAAGAACCACCTCCTTTCACTCCCCGGGGCCCGTGCAGACCTTTGCTGCCTTCTTTGCTCACCTGGAAGCAATGCTGTGTCACTCTCATTCCTGCCCTCCGAGTGCTGCTCCTTAGTGAACTCTTGCTGCATTATTCCGGCACTCTTCCTCCCAGGATGGGGCCTATTCCCAGCATTAATCTTTAACTCTGCTCTCCTGCAGCTTAAATGTGACAAATGTTCTGAGTGGCTGCCTCAGGTTCTTTTTGAAATCCTGCCTCGGGATGTTAAGATTTAGTAACACAGATTCTAACCTTAAAATAGCAGCACAAAATGTTCTATTTACTCACAAAATGAATGCCAAGTATGCAGCATCCCTCACCAGAGTGGGGGAGTGGGGGGGCCATACTGATAACATCTGACAGACAAAGGAATTTGGTGGAAAAAAAACCAATCTGTTGTCCCTCCTCCAGCGGGCAGCAGCCCTGGACAGCATTCCTGGTCCTAGGAAAGGTGCTGCTGCTTCTAGTTCCTCTTCTTCTGTCCCTCTGAAAGCTGGATGCACTCTAATACTTCTTTAAAGCAAAATTGTCTCAGGCTCCACGTGGGGTTGAACCCTGAACGCTGGGAGCCTGAGCTCTATCCGCCAATGCTGTGTGTCCTGCTTGGTCCATCTAGTGTTGGCTGAGGCTGGGACAGCGTTCCAGCTGGCTCGGTGTGCCCAGCACTCCCTTCCCCGGGCAGCACCGGGCAGGCACTGCCACGCTGCGGGGCCGCCGCCGCACTGGCAGTCACCCGGCAGGTCCCGGTCACCCAGCTCTGGTGGGGCCAGCAAGAACCCAAAATGTGACAGAAGCATTCAGCACCTCGGAACTGCCAGTCCCAGAGCTCCTCTGTGTCCTCCAGGAGGCCGGCTGCCATGTGGCTGCCCTGGCACGACCTGCAGAGCCTCTGAGCTTCTCCTGGGTCACAAACCCCTGCAGAGCCTCTGAGCTTCTCCTGGGTCACAAGCCCCTGCAGAGCCTCTGAGCTTCTCCTGGGTCACAAACCCCTGCAGAGCCTCTGAGCTTCTCCTGGGTCACAAGCCCCTGCAGAGCCTCTGAGCTTCTCCTGGGTCACAAACCCCTGCAGAGCCTCTGAGCTTCTCCTGGGTCACAAACCACGGCCGTGCCGTCACAGTGACCATCCCTGTGTCCCAGCTCCTGCTGTGCTGACAGCACTGGTGTGGCACAGCCCCCGCTCCTCCTCACAGCTGGCTTGGTGTGTTTCTCCTGCCCACAGGCAGCAGCATGAACCTGAAGAAGTACCTGGTGCGGGCGCTGCATCGCCTGCAGAAGGGCCCTGGTTACACCTACAAGGAGCTGCTGGTCTGGTACTGCGACAACACCAACACCCACGGCCCCAAGCGCATCATCAAGGAGGGGCCAAAGAAGAAATTAATCTGGTTCTTCCTAACGCTGCTCTTTGCGTCCCTGGTGTTCTGGCAGTGGGGGATCCTCATCAACACCTACCTCTCCTACAATGTCACCTCGACTCTCTCCATTGGCTTTAAGACCATGAAGTTCCCTGCAGTCACCATCTGCAATGCCAACCCCTTCAAGTAAGTTTTTCTTCTCCCAATTTCCCCATGTGTGCCCTAACCTCTCAGAAACATTGCCAGTGTGAGGTACTGTGAGGTTCCTGTCTGAGATGCCACGTTAGGAGCATCAGTGGAGTCACCAGGTGGCCCTACAAACAAATGAAGAACAATATGATGAGTGGCTAGGGCCAGAGGAAGTTCATCTGCCTGCAAGTTCTCATGAGCTTCATAGAATCCCAGAACAGTCTGGGTTGGGAAGGGACCTTCATCTCATTTCACTGCCTTCCCTGGGCAGAGACACCTCCCACTGTCCCAGGCTGCTCCCAGCCCTGTCCAGCCTGGCCTTGGGCACTGCCAGGGATCCAGGGGCAGCCACAGCTGCTCTGGGCACCCTGTGCCAGGGCCTGCCACCCTCATGGGGAAGAGTTTTTCCTAACACAATTTCAGCCCATATCAATCTAATGAAGGTTTTTACCTCCCTGCAAATTTTCTTCAGCTCATAAAAGAACCAAATTCAGCTCACCTTTCCCAGCCAGAATCAGTCTTTCCATCTTTTCCCACAATTTCCTTCCTTCCTTCCCCTTCCTCACTGTGAGCATTCTTCTCATTGCTTGTACTCCAGTCTCTAAGAGCTGGTTCCACAGTCCTGTCTGCCAGAAATCACCACAGAGACAGAACTGAATTGTGTTTTCAAAGGAGTCACTGATTTTCATTAGAGTTGCTTTAAATTTATACTTGTTTTAAATCCATGCAAGAGCGTAGCCCAAGGCAAGACACTCTCAGCCAACACAGGAATTGCTTTGGGGTATTTTTTTCTCCATTTGCTAGAGATGTTTTGTGTAAACTGTAGTGAATTACTGAACTAGAACCCGTGTGGCCCAGCACTGGTGTGTTCAGCCCTGCAGCACTCCCTGTTTATCCTCCCAGTGCCCCTCTGCCCAGCTGCAGCCTGCTGGGACACGGTGTCCGAGCTGGCCGGGCTCTGCATGGAGGCTCCGTTGTCCCCCAGGAAATTCAGGAAGGGCCAAGCCAGCAGCCTGGCAGGTGAGCTGCCAGTGTCCCCAGCTGGTCACTGCTCCCTGTCCCACAGGTACTCAGAGGTGAAGCCCCTGCTGAAGGAGCTGGACAGGCTCATTGAGGCGGCGCTGGAGAGGATCCTGCAGCCAGGGAACAGCAGCGACAACGGGTCCGTGCCACTCAACCTGGAGCTCTGGAACCAGATCCCCCTGGTCCTCATCGACGAGCACGACAAAGACAATCCCATCATCCTGGACATCTTCGAGACCAACCAGACTGCTGCAGCCAACGAAACTGCCATGGACAACAGAACCAGTGTGAGCAGCGACACTGCTGAGGGCCACCAGCTCTTTGGGGGCAACGAAACCATGGACAATGAAACCAATGAGGGGAACCAAACCACTGCTGCACCTGTCCCAAGCAACACCACGTCAGAAGAGAAGAAGTACAAGCTGGCAGTGAAGCTGGTGAGAGGAGTCCCAAAGTGGAAGTGGGCAGAGATGGGTGCCTCGGCAGGGATGCAGCGGGGAGATCTGTATCTCCTCCCCACCAGCTGCCCATGGCCACTCTGCCCTGTCTGGCTGTGCCAGGTCTGGGGACTGCGTGTGCCCAGACCCAGCCCTGCTGCAGGCTGAACCCAGGACAGAGCCAGGATAGCTCCTGCAGGCTCCCAGACACCTTCACCCCTTCCTTGGGTCAGGCACCCAAAATGCCAGGGAGAAGCTGTAGCTGTTGCCCCATCCCTTTCCTGCTGCAGTCTGCAGTGCAGAGGCACAGGGTGGACCCGGAGCCCCTCACCCCTGCTCCCATGGAGGCTCCAAGGACCCTGCCTGGGCAGACCTCGGAGGCTGGGAAAACTCCAGCCTTAAAGAATTGGTCCAAAATGGACACGTTCTGTTAACTTGTGGGGTCACCCTGGGG